GTATTGCTATAAGAGGAATGACTCCGAGGGTTGAGAGGGAAATAATAAGGAAGCCTTAACATCGATAGTCCAAAATATGGTATTATTTGGAAATAGAGTCTTTATATAATTAATTATGTTAAGAAAGATTTCACTAGGGTGTACTCTAATTCAGCACAACTGGCATGTACATACAAGAGGAAAATAACACCTGGACTTAATATGACATATTACTACATTATATATTTTATGTATGTATTAAAGGAGCCCACAGTAACAATAATTATTATTGTTAGGATATCATATCACAGAAATGCACCAGAAAGACAATGTAAAGAGACAGAAAATGTTCTAGAGCTTCTTCAACACCTGCAATTTTTCCCCAGAAGCTGGGACAGACACCTGCAGCCGACTCTTTCTCCCCAGGTCTCAGAGGGCATAGGCACACACATACACCCTGATTTTGAATTTGAGCCCCCATAACTTAAGCGACAACACACTTTCTCAACCACTCAGTTTGGGGTACCTTGTGTTCAGAGCTCTAATTAACCAATGCAATCATTCTTAATATAATGCAATCATTCTCAATATTTTCAAATCATGAACTAACCCTAATAATTTCCACTTCTAACCTCACAATAAAACACCTGACAGAAGTATCAAATTCTTCTCAAGCTACCTAATACAAATTCTAGATTATTTGAAATGCAATGTGGATGCTGGTACATAGATTATTATGATATTAGGTCAACAAACACACATTTTTTTAAGTCAGGATCTCTAATGCCACATCTAATGAAGTTCTGAAAAACTATGTGTTTGAGTAAAGATGCCAGCCTCCACGTTGCCAACCCAGTGTTTACTGTCACAGTAGGGATGGCATCCAATCCCTGAGATTCTATTGGTGATCTTCCAGCAGCCACTATTCTGGATGACTCAGTGCTAATGCAGTAATTTAGCATATTTCTGCATGCCAAATAATAGATTATAAAAACGGTGTCATCTGAACTCCAAATTGATTTAGCCAATGGCAAATAAGTTGGCTTTGAGTGTTTTTTTTTCTTAAAATCTATTAAAAAAAATACTGTAGCACATAGGGTAGTTAAGAACACTTAAGTTTATCTGTTAAATAGAATTTAATAATTCAAGCATCTTTGTAGATTGACAAAATGAGTCGCAATATTCACTTATTTATTTATTATTTCTAGAGTTACTACAAAATTATCAACTGAACTTGAGTAAGCCCACCAAGATAACAACAAAAGAACCACCTTTCCATTCAGGGTGATGTTAATAAATTAGTGAGTCACAGCAAAAACTTGCCTTCTTGTCTGAAAATGAAGGATCAAAGCAATTTTTAAAAAACACACAAAATATGAAGCTTTTTGAAAAATAGCAGACTTGGTGTCTATGTGAATGTGACGTTAATCTTCTTTCTCATCTGCTACATAAAGCCTGAAGTTCAGTGGCTTCCCATGGTAGTTGTGAACGCAAATTAATAGTTTAGAAAGTACTTAGCAATAGAGAGTTCCCCATGTATGATGAGCATTGGTATTCGTGAAATAAAATGCCTTATCCCATTTGCTTTCTATTGCTGTGACAAACGACTGATTTAAACTAAATTGAGGGGGAAAGGGTTTGTTCAAGTTTACAGTTCAGAGTTTATCATCAAAGGAAGTCAAGGCAGAAACTCAAGGCAGGGTCTTGAAACAGAAACCATGAAGAAATGCCACTTTGTCAACTTCCTGTTAGGCTCATGTTCTGCTACTTTTCTTATATAGTATTGTTCTGGTCCACTTGTGTAGAAATGGAACACCCACAGTGGGGTGAAGCCCTCCTACATCTATTAGTAACAAGGAAAAACCCTCAGATATGTCTATCAGCCATACGACAGAGGTTCTTCAATTGAGGTTGCTTCTTCCTAATTGTGTCAAGTTGACAACCAAAGCTAAGTATCCCTAACGACTAGGTATTTTCTTAATTCTTTCCATACTGGGCAATATGTCAACTGTTTCAGAAGGATGCATTATGTGTATTATTGAGTCTCTTTTCACTTTTGATACAAAATAAGTAATTCTGTTTGTGGCTTAAACTGATTTAAAAAATTCTCAAATGTCTACAAAATCTTTTTTGTACTCTTTGGATAACATCCATTCTTTATGATACATTAAGAATAGTCAATATTCTTCATCATTCCATTTTTCATATTATTATTATTGTAATCAGTATTTTGTGAAATTCATTCACTAAGAGATGATGAGAAAAGTGAGGCTCAAGACTGGGGAGGTAGCTCAGTAAATAAAGTACTTGTCATACAAGCATGAGAACTTGAGTTTGGATCCTCAGAACCAAGGTCCAAAGGCAAGCACAGTTGGCCGAAGCCTGTAATCCTAACACTGGGGAAGCAGGGACAGGAGGATCCCTGAAGCTTCCTGGCCAGCCAGCCTAGCCAAATTCCTGAGCTCCAGATTCATTCAGAGACCCTGTCTCAAAACATAGGGTGAAGAGATATTAAGGACAACATTCAACATTGACCTTTGGCTTTCACACACATGTGTACTAGTACAATATGCACACATGAACATACTTACAATAGTAATAATGATGATGATGATAGTAAGTAATTCTGTATTTAGACTTGGCATTGAAAGAAAGTTTATAATGTGTCTCATCTCACCAACTCTGTACCTGTGGAGGATTTGCTTTAATGACATCTCTGGACAGTGACCATCTATCTAGACTTTAAACACTTTCATTGAAAGTATATTTATTGTGAAGAGGATGAAAGCCACTCGAGCTGCTTATAAAATAGTTAATTGAAAACTCATTCTCCAGTTGGAGTCCTCATTTGCTGCACTGAACTTCGAGCCATTCACTATGTTTCTTCCCTGAAATAATAGAGAACAAATCGATTCACACCATCACATGATCTCAGAATTGGAGGTACTTGTTCACATTTTCCAGTCTTCTCTATGTGGTTTCTGCAACATCCCTTTTTGTACTCTTACCAAGCTCCACTTTGCTTAAGGATCTCCAGCCTAAGACACGCAGGACTGAAGGCTCCATCTGACTTTCATGTTACTCTGCCAAGACTAATTTCAGGAAGATGGCTGTCCCCACAGTCTCTTTTTACGTATTAGGGAAATATATTAATTGGCCTTTGCACACTGGTGTCAGGAAGGGAAAAAAGTGGAAAGAGAAGGAAGAAAGGCAGGGTGAAAATTCTTACCTATTAGTTAATCTAGGATGTAAGCTCTGAAAAATAAACTTATTACACATTCACCATTTATCTCCACAGCACTCATCCCAATATTGAACCCACAAACAGAAATCTGTCTTTCATATAAAAACTAAGAACAAACCTTTAGAGACATGGAGAATGGACTTGATGTCATCTGTGAGCTGGTATAAGTGGACTAAGCGTACAGTAAGTAAAAGTTGAATGAACTGAAGTAAGCATGTCGTTAGGAGCTAAGCAAACACGCAGGCTCTGAAACAGCTCTCTAGGCATCCGGTAAAGGTTCTGACATAATTGAGAGGCTATTGAACCAATCTGTGAGATACTCAGTTGCTGACACAAAGAAAAAGGGAAAGGTTGCTCAGGCAGATTGATTAGCTAGCAGGCTCTCTACCTGGTGAATGAAAAGAACTATTAATGAGGCCAAAGTGAAAGGAAACCTTTGTTCTGGAGTTAAGGTTGGGGAGAAAGGTCAATGAAGGGAGTGAGGTGAACCCAGGGGACAATCAATTATAGGTCACAGTAGATCAATTACTGCCCTATCTGAGCATATCCAACCAGAAACCCAATGTCAGCTCCATCTCCATTTTTTCTCCTCAATCTCCTGTGGTTCCTAAAACCATCAATTCTAATCCTGTAGTCAGTTCTCTGCTCTGTGTTCATATCGTCCATGACTTAACAGAGACCTTGATCACCTCTTATCTGAAAATTGTTAATGATCTTTGAACTACTATCTATAGGTTGTAAACTTATTCTCCTTACTGTTGTAAGAATTTCCTTTAAATCACAAACCTGGCCACAATTTTAGATAAAGCTCTTTGATCAATTCTGTTATCTGCCAGATAACGTTCTAGTCATGGAATCCAATGTCATTCATTATCAGATCTCAAGATATTTTTCTAGAATCTCTTTCCCATCAGCCCACCCTACAACTCACACTAGACTTCAATCACAAATGACTTCCTCAGTGGCAGTGCTGGCTAGTTTGTAAGTCAGCATGACATAAACTAGAGTAATTTGAGATGTGAGATACTCACTGGAGAAAATGCTCCAAACACACTGGCCTGTAGGCAAGCCTGTCGGACATTTTGTTGATCAAGGATTGATGAGGGCAGATCCAGCTCACTGTGGGTAATGTCATCCTAGGAAGGTGGTCCTGGGTGGTATAAAAAAGCCTGCTGAACAAGCCACAGTAAGGTCCTTTATGGATTTAAGGATCACTCCTCCATGCCCTCTACTTCAGTTCCTACCTCTAGATGCCTGCCTTGAGATCCTACCCTGAACTCCTTCAGAATGTTGTATGATGACGTAAACTCTTTCCTCCTTAAGGTGATTTCTATCATGGTGTTTTACCACAATAGAAAACTAAGAATTGCTATATTTCTTTTTTAAGTTGTTCCCTCTGACTGGAAAGTTCTTTCTTCTCTTTACTAGATACATTTCTATTATAATTTGGACTAAATTAAAATGTCAAATTATTTCCTAATAACTTTTCACTTCCTCTACAAATTATCTCTCCCATTCTCTGTATGTCCTATACTGTCATGTATCTTATTTTTTACCTGTTGACTATGAAAGTCTTTGTCTTAGTATGCCCATCAGTTCCCAACTGATTGAATGAATGAATGAATGAATGAATGAATGAATCAGACAGCAGATAAAGCTCAAGAGGTGATAAGTACTCTCTTGATTATTACTTTTAATTACTCTTACAGTGAGGCCTATAAACCTCTAAAACATTGCAATATACATAATTTAGACATGCATTAAATTATAAATTTTACAGTAATATATTTTTATAATTTGTTACCAGTAACCTTTGTCACTGTGGGGGGGGGGGGAATAAAATATTTAATACTTCCAGAATCTCTCTACCTAGACACTTGAAATTACTTGTATTAGACTCTGCTCTAAGCATTGGAACTCCTTAGGGAGTGTGATAGTCAAGGTATTCTTATAAGGTTGACATTCCAGTGATACTTAAACTGGAAGGCAATAAGTAACTGAACAAATAATCTTAGTTGTATTGCTAAGTAGAATGGAATCATATGTTGGCCAGATTGTTAACAGGAAAAAAAAAGTGTTCATGGAGCTGGTATTTCAAATGAAACCTAAATGAAGTCAAAGCCGCCAGCAAGCACTGTGTCTGAAGGTGTAATGATCTTGTGTTTCAAGATAAGTTTCCTGTGGTTGGTGCTCAGCAGAAAGGGGGTCAAGAAATGCCATTAGGAAATGAAGTTGCAAAACAAGAAGGAGCTATACCAGATGCAACTTTATAAGCCAGGAAGAGAATAAAATTTATCTTTAGTAGAATAGGACACATGAGATTTCACAGTAGACCATTGAGTTACAGTGAAACAAATGTCTTCAACAGTCTTTAATTTCTGTCCCCACTGACTCGATTCGGGAGCTCCTGTCTTCCCTGATGAGTCACAGTAGCCTTTGCATGGTCTCCTTGACACTGCTGCTCCTGCCTTGATCTGAATTATTGTCAGAGCTTGTTTCTAGAAAACAAATGGGATCATGTTATACTCTGCTTACAGACCTATGAACTGTCCACATGTTCACCAAATTTTCAGTGTTACCCATTTTATGTGAACTATTTGACATGAATAGATTCAAAGACTCTGAGACTGATTCAAAGACTACCACATACAGAAAGTATGTTTTAGGTTTTATGAAATAATGTAAAACATCTCTCAACATATATAAATATATATTTATTAAAGAGGATGATAGACTAAAATTTACTCACATTTATTTAGATGTTGTTATATTTATGATACTGTTTGTCTAAGCCCTGATTACCATAAATTTGTCATGAATAACAGAAACATCTTAAGTTCCTCTTGCTCATATCTACAATCTACATGCAGATACAGACTCGAACCCCCCAGAAGCTCAGAATCCTACCTGAATTCCTGCCATTTTTATGTATCCTCTTTTGTTTTAAGGGTGCTCAAATGTTCTGTTCCTTTTTAATGGGATTATTTAATACTAATATTTACCACTAAAGTGTTCTGAAACTGTTTTCTGCACATAAGACCTGTATGAACTGCAAACACATTTTGTGAGTACCTAGATACTTCACTTTCATTTCCCTAACGGTGTCTCTTTGAGGGAGCTGACGGTTTTAGTTTTGATAACAGACTGTTCACCAAAGTTTTAAGTTTATATTTTCTTTTTTTTAGAGTAACAACATCATTTATTTCAGCTTCATGGATCCTATCAACCTCAGAGAATCAGCACAATCACAGGAATTAGCACTGCTCCACAGAAGCACGTCCAGACATTTTGGCAAAGTCTTGGAGCATTCTCAGTCTTAGGAAGAATCCGTGTGGCAAAGTCACTGAGGAAAAGTTTTAAGTTTATGTTTTCAATACCTTAAGAAATGTTTGCCTGTCTCAAGGGTGCAGATCCTCTACTGTGCTTTCTTCTGGATGCTTTACTGCCTGGGTGGGGTTACCATTGCTGCTTTAAAAACCTTTCTTCTTTTCTAAAACACACACCCAAAGCTATCTGGATGATTTCCTGTAGGGGCTGTTGCAGATGTTGAGGTTTCAATCACTTCTCATCTGTGTTTCAGCTGAAAATCTGTACATGGCATTCTCATAATCATTTAGTTCAAAGTATTGCCCGGCTTCTCTTTTGCTTATTTAATTGACCCGTGAGTAGTTTACATGTTTAATTTCCAATTATTTGGAAATTTTCTAAATGCCATTTTGTATTTGTAACTAACTTAAGTTGATTACGGTCAGCAAACAGTCTATGTGATGTCACTCATTTAAAATATGTGCGGATCTGTTTCATAGGACATAATGTAGCCCAGAATAGCTCTCGGCAAGGATTTGCATGGTATATTGTTGTTGGCTGTGCTATCCAGGAAATGTCCATGAAGTTAGCTTGATTAGTACTGTGATGATGTTTTTCAAGAATTTTACATTATTGACTTTCTGTCTATCTGTTCCCTCAACTGATGAGGGAAAAATGTTGATATTAACCATTATAATTGTCAATATTTTTCTCTTTTCAATACTGTCAAAATTGTTCTGTATAATTTGAAATTGTCATTATGTACATGTGCATATGAGTTTGCCATCTACTTAGTGAAGTGATTCTTCACAATGTCTATTATCTTGGTCTGTTTTCTATTATTATGATCTAATTCTGGAGGCTGTACAATTTCTTTTTTAAATTTTTTTTTCTTACAGTACTAAGGTGGGGAAGCACAAAAACATCACTACCATCTATTTGGCTACCAGAGATGGCCAAATACCAAAATGACAGGGTAGAAGAAATGGTTGGACAGAGCAAGCCTGCCAGAGAGAGGTCACTTTTGTAACCACTCCCTCAACACCTGTTTGTCTATCAACCTATCCCCTGAGTATCATTAACATGTGAATCTGGAGAATGAGTTTCCAGAGCATGAAGTTGGTTGAGGACACTAACCCCACCATTTTTCCAAAGCTCCTCTCCTTTCTCGCTTTGCAGTCTACCTTATCTGCTTCATACAAAGACAATCCAAATTCCTGCACACTCCTATTTATGTTTACAAATTATCTCTAAAACCCCTAGGCTGTCTTCAATCTATACATTAAGGTAGATATAATGCATCTATGTATATTAGAGCTTTTATCGGGTTAGATTTAGGTCTACCACTTTGCCATTTATCTCTTCTACCTGTCTTTGCTTTCTTTTTTGCTTTGTTATTCTCCCTTATAAAATATTGACTTTTCTTTGTAGTAATAAACCATCTTCTTTGAGTTTATTAGGTATATCTCTTGATTTTATTGTTACAGTTGTTTTTCTAAGGTTTACAGTATCATTAACCTATCAAAATCTACTTTGAAATGAGTGTAGAACTTCACATGTAATTTAAGGACCACACACATGTAATTTTCTAGTCTTTCCAACCTTCTCCATCATTTCACAATTACTTCTTATTTTTTTTTCAACTCTCCCAAACATTGATTCTTAAGAAGTTGGATGAAAGAAATGTTTACTATTTACCTATAGCTTGGCTTCTCCCAATGCTCATTATTCCTTTATAAAAATTTGAGTTTCCACCAAATATAATTTTCCTTCAGTTTGAAAAACTCACTGTAGTATTTCTTGTCAAGATGTAACAATGAATAATTTGGTCTTGGTTTTCTCAAAATGTCCTTATGTAGCTTTTATTTTTAAAAAATACTTATGTCTGATAAGGCCTTCTCAGATATCAAAGGTTTCATTGTTTTGGTCTATGTATTTGAAGTTATTTGTTTCTGTAGAAGAAACATGTTCTTTTGCCTTCTGATTGGCATTGTCTCTGGTCACTCACTCCTTTGTCCATCTGCAGGCAACATGTCCATCTTTATCTGGCTGTCCATGGATTATGTACAGAATTTCTTCAGTGTTTATTACATTTATTTTTTGTTGAGCCATTGAATTCTGTTAATTAATTTAGTTTTTCTAAAATCTGGAAAATTTTCAGCCATTATATCCTCAAATATTATTTCACCCACCCACCCCCAACTTTCTAGGCTGGTAATCAAATGTACGTAAAGATTACTTAACACTGAGCCCACGTCTGTAGCACTCTATTAATTTTTTCTAGACTTTTCTTTCTTCTGTGTTTCAGTTTGGACAGATTATATTGTTCTACATCCAAAACGACTGAGTTTCTTTAATTGTTCTGCTCTTAAGTACATCAAGAAAATTTTTTCTGAATATTGTAATTTTCATCTCAAGAACATCCATTTGTTCTTTTAAAATAATTTGTTTCTTATTTATTTAATTTATGTTTCCTCAAAATTACTGACATGTTCATAATAAACATTTAAGCTTGTATTCTGATTTCATTATCTCTCATTTTATGGATATGTTTCTATTGTCATGATTTATATTTTCCTTCTTTTTCAAATGTCATACAATTTTTATTTAGACCTAGACACTATGAACATCTTGTTATTTAACACTTGAATTTTCTTTTTCTTTTTCATCGCTGGTCTTGACCTAGTTGAATGCTTATCACAAGAAGATGAACTTGATTCTTTAGTGACCTTATGTAGTTGCTGTCCATGGATGTTTGGTCCTCACTTGAAGGTTTTAGTTTTAACTCTAAGGCTTGTGCTTTCTTCAGTCTTTATCAATGATCCTAGGTGGTCTTCATGCTTTTATGCTAGCTTGGTTGTTTTCATTTGACTTTCTGTGTGTGCCCCATTATCTTTTGATTACAGTTCTTCATTAATTGTTTTTCTTGTGTGATTACTCTGTGAACTTTGTCAAGTCTTAAAGGCACATGGAACTTATTCAACCAAATTTTCAATAGAACCCGAGGTCATCTTTTAAAATTATTTATCTGTGTAGCTCTTTACTCTTAATTCTACATCTTGCAATTTTTTTTTTTTTAGTTTTTTGAGACAGGGTTTCTCTGTGCAGCTTTGCGCCTTTCCTGGAACTCACTCTGTAGACTAGGCTGGCCTCGAACTCACAAAGATCCACCTGCCTCTGCCTCCCGAGTGCTGGGATTAAAGGCGTGCGCCACCACCGCCCGGCCTTACATCTTGCAAATTTTGACAGCCTTGGCTTCCCTAAAAATACAACCTCTGTGTCTTCAGTTCAGCAAGACCACCATGGTCTTCTTGATTTCCTTTTGCTGGGTCTAAGAAAATGCTTCTAAGGAAAAATGAAAATGGTAATCAGTCTTGCCTTTCTCACTAACACTTATGGAGTTGACGTTCTGCCTCTGTCAAATGTCTGAGGGTAGTTGTTTTACATGTGGCTACTTTTCTAGTTGTTTATTCACTATGTATGAGAAAAGTGCTATTCTCAAACCAACTGTTCCATAATAAGTTGAAGCAGAAGTTCATTCACAGATAAAAGTGATACTGTTCTAGAATCAGCCATCTTATAAACTAAAAATAACTAAGAATACCCACAATAATGTCCCATCAATGAGTATGACAATCACCAGTCTACCTGCTGCACCCAACCAGCTTCTTTCAGACCCAGAAGAAGATATCAGAGAACTGGTGAGCAGGGAAGATGGTACACTAGGAGTAAACACCAACTAATTTTGGTTTTCCCTTTAACCACAACAAGACTCTCTGTGAATTGTAGATGCACACACTTTCGTATGAATCCAAATGCTGTGTTGAGTCATACTTAATTCAAAGGAAAAACCAAGTTAAGTGTATGTCCTGACATAGGTCACATGATTCTCAGGGCTTCACTTCTAACAGTGCCTCCACTCTTTCCCCCAGTTACTCTCATCTCGACCATGCGCCAGCCTCCATTATCTCACGTCAGTTCTAGAACCCATAAGCTCTTTACTCACTGCCCACGTTTAAATGTACCACTGCTTCTCTGATGACTGTCTCTCTGATGTTTAACCCCTTTTCTGAAGTCAGGTCCTGTCACTTTTGAATAACCCCACCACCTTGAATTTAATAACTCATTGGACATTAAAACATTTACTAAATGCTTCCTGTTCACCAACAACTCTGAAAGTGCTTTATGTGTA